GATAATTTAAAACTTAAAATTTTGGACAAGATGATCAAATTCTTGTTGCTATTGATTCAATAGCTCCAATTTTGGGTAGATCTGACAGTCAAAACTCTGAATCAATTGAATCAATTATCGCGAGCTAATATTTGTACGACCAAGTTTGTATGGAGGATGAGCACTATATTATCAAAAATTGTGTGTAAGACATGGAATATAATTTATATATCCTAAAATTAATTAATGAAGTAAAAATTTCTTACTCTCCAGTAACATTAATTATTATCATGGATTGACATGCTTTTAAAATGCAATTTCATTTGCTAATAAATTGTTTAAGTGATGTGTAACGTTTATAACAAATATAATGCGCTAATTTCAAGGGATTACATTTTTTATAATACTTATTAATATTTAGTCAATAAAAATTATTTATATTGGAGATAGGCCTACAAAATATTTATTTAAAAAGGGAAGAAATTGAATCAATATTTAATTTTTCAAACGAAAGGACCAAAAGAATCCTTGAGAAAGATTTGCGACATAATGAGTCATTAAAAAGCATGTTTACTCAATTTATTAATAAATATCCATTATACAATAATCTAATTTGAAGAAATGTAAGGAAACTCCTGTGATTTTAAGGATTTAAAAGCAATTAAAATTTGGATTCTTCAAGCTTAGGCTAGTCAATTTTTAATTAAGTTTCAGTAATTCCAAAATATATGAAACTGAATTTAAAGTTATATTTTAAATCGCTAAATTTAAATTCTTCTTAACAAAAACCCAATTTTAAACATTAAATGAAAGAAATCCTGAAGGTTTTCTATTGAAGAAAAAGGATTTGTATACAGTTTTATAAATAGCTGTTAATTAGAATAATAAGAAGCAATTGTAATAATTAACTGTTTACATCCACACATGAATACATACAGACAAATAATTGCTTCTAATTAGCAACAGATTAATGCTATGTAAGGCACTTTCGATTCGCGCCTTGGGCTGCTGTCAATCACGTTCGCCTCTTGGCCGCCTTGACAGCTCGATTATGGAAACTCGTCACCTGTCATCGGCTGTTTTCCTTTTCATTCACTCCCCATTTGCTAATTCAACTACTCCGACGTGCTCGCGAGCAGTATAATTAAGTAAAGAGTTAATTCTGCTTTTAAACACGTCTCTCACTCGCTATATTTCCAGTTTTATTTTTTCCTCTCTTTCGATCGCAGCAAGTGCGCGAGCACGTTCCAGGTGCGCCTCGCGGGAAAGGCAAAAAATAATATAACGTTTCTATAGAAAAAGAAAATCATCCGTGCCGTGGGATAAGTGTCAGGTGCGAAAACGCCTTTTGACGGAAGCCATACACTTCGGATTTGTACAGAGAAAAAGCGCGAAATAAAAATGCCAGAGTGTATTTATTTTTTCACCGGGGAAAATCTCGGCGAGAATAATTCCATTGAGCATTGGAAAGGGCGCCAGCGATTTGTCATTTTGTTTTATTGCCGTCAGCTGGATGTGCAAGCGCAACTTTTATATATATATGCGCGTGCCCTCTCTCTCTGCTTTTAACTTTAATCGCCGGCGATTTCGCGGCAAACGACCTTATCGCACCAGGGACGGCGAATGTTGCTGTATTTTTATTTATAGACGACGTGCGCGCTTCTCTTGCACAAAAGGATACAATATTAATTCAGCACTGCCAGCGAGGGTTATAACTAAAGAAGGAACATGAAATAAAAAAGACGACGCAAAATTCTGTCGTCATTACCATATGATTATACTGCCCTGGAAGTCTCTTAAATCCCTTTTTTGTAGCAAATTTTTTAGCAATTCAAATAAGAAAAGCCTTTTATGATGTAATATAATCCGGCTTCCTGAGTGAAGTTGAGCATATCGCAAACCTCACAATTTTAGAATGTTTGTTAAGAAACTGCTGTTGAAAGTTGAAATATTATTGTAAAATTGAGTTAATTACCAATAATTTTTCTAAAAATTTGTGATCAAAATTTAATTAATAAATATTACTTTCACGTTAATTTGGCAAATTGTATGAAAACAGTGGCAGAAAATTGTAAAGAATATAACTTTTTGAACTCTTTTAAGTTAAAAATAAAAATTTACCGCCGTTTGAAGTTTCAAGGTTTCATTTAAAATTTATAGCACAAAAATATAGTAAAAAAGTGCAGTTCAAAAATTGATTCGTTTAACCTCAGAAGTTTGAGCAAAGCTGATTTTTCAACATTTTCTTTTCTTTCAAACTATTTTGTTATTTTCAACAGTTGAATGTAAACAATGTGATTGTATGAAGCAGTTTGACGAATGCACAACAATAGCGGAAATTAGTAGCAACAAATGTATAAATAAAACTATAAACTATCTTTTTACGTTTTTTATATATGTTTGAAACTGCATAATTTCTTGTTAAAGGAAAAATTAGAAATAGTTGAACAAAATTTGAAGTGCAAGCAATTTTTGCGCGAAAAATAGCAAACCTAAAATTCAATTATAAATAAAAGCATATTTTTAGCAAACGCTCTGCTCGCTGACAAAGGAGGTGCTAAAAAAATTGATTGATCTAGACAGATTAGGTTTTGGCAGTTTCTCGTTTGCTTTTGAAAATAAATTGTGGTGCAGGCAGACCTTCAACAAAACTAGTATATTTTAATTGTAATAAACGCGGGTAAAGCTAACTTTTTTTCTCAATTGAAGCCTCTAATTATTCTATTCTAAAACCGTCTTTGGCAAACTTTTGAAAATTACTAAAATCAGTTTGTTTAATATATTAATTAAAATTTATTATTTTTATAATATATTGAATATATTTTAAATTTTGGCTTATTTATTTGTCGATTATCAAATATTATTTAAAATTAAGACAGTTCATTATTGAAAATTAATTTGTTTTGAACTACGTTTTTCTGACCATCAATCTGTTCACATACTAACTTTATACCAGAAGTTCATAAACCTAAAAAAGAGTCACTCAAGCTTCTTTCACTCAACGATAATAATCATATTAGGTCATTTCAGTGGCTGCTCCCTTTGATGACTCACTCGGAGCTGAGAGGACACGCGTCTGACTGAGAACTGCATTTATTTCAGCAACTTTGGGCCAAACTGAAATAGAGCCGCGCATGTTTGTGTGAATGACTTGCTCTCTCTTGGGCGCGAGAGCGTTTTTTATTAGGCGCTCGCCAAAATAAATCCGTGCACCATTCATTTGCACCGAAATAGACTCGGGCACATCCGAACTAGTGCCAGTTCAAATGTTACGACCGGTCTATTTATGCTAATTATCCACTCAAGGCCACGCGATCTTTCTCTCTCAACCCTCTCGCGCGCGGGCACAGCTGTTCACTTTCACTCATTCCGTTTCTCACACTCTTTTAGAATTTCGCCACTCGCATCAAATTTGCCAACCGAGTTCACACCAAGCGAGGCGAGCTTCGGTGGGAAAGCGCGGGAAATTGACAGGAGAGAGCTATGAAAAAAAATATAGATTAAAGTTAAAGGTCGAAGTGCTGGATTAAAGGATATGAATATTTCAAGACCTCCTCGTTAAATTTTTTATGAGGATAAGTGTGGTGATGAGAAAATTGGTCTTTAGGAGCACATTTCATGTTTAAAAACCATAAAAAACTTTTAATCCTTTTGATCTTTTTTGCACTGTTGTGTGGGAAACTGAAAATTTTGCGCATATAATTGGGACAATGGATCTTTGCAAATTTTCTCATTCCGATTCAAATAATTGAAGATTAAAATCAAATATTTTTGTCTTACAAGGAAAAAGAAATTTTTTGAGACGCAGCTCTCATTAAATTTGTAGACTTTCTCCTGCATTTTTATGAAAACATTTATCATAGGACAAATTTCCCTTGACGCTTTAAGCAATTTTTTAAATTTATTATTTCTTATTAAAAAATGAATGTTGGACTGTAAAGTGAAGCAAGGAGTTTCCTATTTCATATTGTTCTTTAATGCTTGAATTGGTATCACCTAATATCCAACACAATTTATTTATACTTCTACCTAAAATACAGCTTTTCAAATTGAATTCTCTGATTATTTTATTTTGAAATTTTTGATACTTTCAAATAATTTTTTAAAATATTATTTACAATCCTGTATCTAGGCTCAATTGTGAACTTGTGTAGGCAATTTATAAAATTCTATGGCTTGAACACAATTTGTACGCAAGTTGAATCAACTTGAAATAATCTTTATTTATTTATTTTTTCTTTCTTTCAATAATGCTCACGTACGTATAATATATTCAGTTGAGCCCCAAGTCGATGCGTTCGTCTATAATAGGAAGGGAGTTTCAATATTATATTCCACCTCATTAATTACTGAAGCGCACGCATAAATTGTAGCTAACAATTACAGGCAGCTCCTTGTAACAACCGAGATTGCAAAACGCGCATGCATCAATCTGTGATGCGCGGAAACCATAGAGCGAAACTAATTTGCATAATGCCCCATTCGACGAGGCAGCCTTGGGACGAGATCTTCTCGCAGCCGCAAGAAGTGTCAGCAGCACTCGGAATTAGCGACTGCTGACAATGAGCATCGCGAGAGCGAGCAGACGCATACAATTGAGTTATTTGTCAGCAATATATATATTATATATGCGATAATAGAGAAATAATATATAATAGTCCTGAATTGCTCAGAAGCAGCCTAATCAGAGCTGCCACAGGCCTATAATGTCAAGTTTCGAAACAAAAACCGGTGGCGAACAATCGATAAAGACCACCCGTTTAGGATAGGGGTCAGATGAGTTGCGTGCCGAACGGCTTAGCCCCGTTATAAATCTTGGGACTGCGTGGGCATGTGAGTGTCATTATGTTATCTAGCTGACCCTATAATTTCCGGGAAGAAGAAAACAAAGGGCTGAAAGTGAGCCGCGCCTGGCCGACTTTGCTGGGGAAAAATGCCGTTGCACCCTCCGGGGACGATGTGGTATGTGGAATCGGGAAATAGGATAAACTACTTTTTTTTTGCTATTTTATTGCCGAGCTCGGAAACATGAGTGTGCAAAGTGATGGTTTTAATGTCTCGGATCGTTTTGCCGGGCAGTAAATTTCGGCTTAATCGCCCAAGCTAACAACACTCTGCTCCAACTGTTGCAATATTGTACATCAAGAAGTGGTGCTCGTCACAGAAGCTGTTTTGAGCTCTTTATTATTTCTCGGTCGTAATTGGCTTAATGTTTGTCGATGGCCCACCTGTAGACTGCCAATACTCTCTGCTGCGACGCAAATTGGTCGGAAACCTGCAAAATAATTTGGAAAAAAATTGACTATGTAATTTCACATTTTTTCAAATAATTTATGAAATGTGAAAATTTTCTAAATTGTTCATTGACAGTAATTTTCGGTGGAAATAGACTGATATTTACTCAATAAGTGAAAAATAAGTAATTTTAAGCAATTCTACAACCTTAAATTCAAACTTTTCACTTAGTTTTGCAAATTTGAGCTTACATTTTACTTGCAAATACGCTTCAAATGTGAACACCTATTTTTTCCCCATTCCTAATATCAGATAAAATAACAATAAGACATACCTTTTGAATATTTTTTTTGCATCACGTCTTGGCCTGACCAAAAGAAAATGAAATTATTATTTTGAGAATTTAAATGAACCTTTCATAAGACACGACTTGTTGTAATTATGTAATTTTTTTGATAAATTATTACATTACTATTAATTAAAATTTCTTTTGACTACATGAAAATAAGAATTTTAATTCAGAAATACAGTAGAATGAACTCTGGTCATGCAGAATTACCAAAATGCAACGGGCTGGCGTATGCAAGAAATAGGACCACTAAAGTGTAATTGTCCGGCGAGTGAGGAAATGGCTCGTTTGTTCGCGACTCAAATGCGTAATTATGCATCTCACACGCGTCATGTCGCGGGGTCGGCCAAGACGGAGCAGCTGCAAGCTGTGTGTGTTGAGACTTTTGTTTTCGCTATCGCACCAAGACCTTCTGGTGCTCTCTGTTTAATAAACATACCACAGATAGAGATAATCTTGTTTTAATTAGAGCTGTTCAATCTGCTGAGAGTCACACGCTTAGTATTATTAACCATGATTTATAAAGTAGTTTCACTTAAAAATTTAATTGATTGATCTTAAAACTTCGAATCAAAAGTCGAATAGTGACCACAAAAAATGCCTCAATTACAAAAATTGAAATTTCAAATAATTTTTATTAAAATGGTAACTTTCGGTCTATAAATTTTTGTGTTTTAAGGATTGATCTGAAAAATCAATAAATTTTTAATATATTTCAAGAGAAAAAAACTGAAAAAACAAATACCAAATAATTAATTTTTAAAACGATTTAATAAACTAATAATATCATCATAATGGGGGCTGGTGCAGGGAAAGCTCAAATTTATCACGTAACATATCCCTTTCTTGGGTCCTCTTGGGCAAACCGCACGTTTCTCAGAACCACTCTGAAACAAGAGGCGAGATCTTGGAGCGGTCGCTGACCACTTCTATCCCCGGAAAGCAGCACAAAGCGAAAGTCGAACGTGTGACATTTTCACCCTCTTGGTCGCCCCAGGGGCAGGTATTAGGTCTACGAGCGCCCCCTGCACACACACACCATCCTCTCGGGGGCAGATTAACACGCTCTCGCCTCCGAAATTAATGCCAATTACCAGATTGGCCACTTTGATCTCCAGAGATGGTGTGAGCCCTTCAATTATTCACTCGGCGCGATCGCGCCTCACTGACTCTGTATACTTTTCTCCCTGCTGTGAGGAATAGACTCGCTTTTTGCGGCACTTCATTTGGCCGCACACTCTGGAAAAGCAGCATCTCGCATTTAATTACATATATGCCGTCGGCGCAGTTGGTCTCGGAGGTCAAAAATTGTCAAGAAAAATCGTGCGAGTGCAAAAAGCGGCTGCGAGAGCGGCTCTTTCTTTTAATTAATTCCACCCTGCGATTAATCACCGCGGATGACGGACGACAACGTCCCGTGTCTCGAGAGAAATTTAGGCAAAATGAGAAAAGAGACGAAAAGAGGAAAGTCCTATTAAGTTAAAAGCACCGTCGCATTTGGTAGATTACTACATTTTAAACACAAAGATTAATCTCAAGAAAAATGATGTAAATTTTGTTCAACAACTATCATAAATATTTGTGTAGGGTGAAATGGGGCGAAATTATAATTTTAATTCTGTTTAATTAAAATACCAGTAGAATTTTTCATTGTTAATCCTAGAATGAGAAAATAAATTAAAATCCAATAATGTAATGGCTCTTTTAAATTTCGCACCGTTGCTAGCCAAAAGCATTTAAGTGAATATCAAAGTCCATAATTGAAATATGATTTTTTAACCAAAGTGAATTAGCAATCAGGATTATCTTCCAAGCTCCCTGCAGTTAAAAATGCTGTTGGTGTTAAAAAGCAGGCCAACCTCTGATAAACCCCTAGTTTGATGTTTGCGGTTGCGGATATTTTATTAATTTCAACCTCGGTAATTCAATTTGGTCAAGTTTTAATTTTCAGAAATTAAAAAATAATAATGGGACTTTAACCATAAAAATGAAGATGAATTATTAAAATTAATGTGCCGCAGCACCCATCAGCTGCATAATGGAACTGCATTCCTAGAATACAGCCAAGTGATGAGAGTGCGTGCAGGTCATAATGCTGCGCTTGTGCCGCGGCGACCTAATTCCGCGACATGCTCCGCAAACTCGCGGCACTTCTTGTGAAATGCAAATACCTTTTTGCAGGCCGCGGTGATGTTCATAAGCCGCACGAGACGAACATCAATTTCGCATATTAGCAGCGCAGAATGCAGTGCAATTGCAAATTGGTATTACGGGGCCAATAAATAATTACAATGCAGTGGGATTTTATCATAAAGTATGCTCGGCGCCCGGAAAAGCTGTCCGCGCGTGACCTATTTTCCGGCCCTTTGATATTTACGAATTCGGCCTATATTCCTCTCCCCTTCACGTTTCCTAAACACGCAACCCATAATTAATTTGTTCAATTTCTATCGCTCACTCCAGTTTCAAAAATGAAATCTAATTCCCGCAATTCCACTATTTGCAAATTATTTCTGCTAGTTTTTCCTCAATTAAAGGGATTCAATTTACTCGAATGAGGTCAAAATGTTTTTCCTATGTCATCCTACACATTGTGAATGCGCCAATTCTTGCATCCCTCTTTGAATGAGCCGCTTCAGGTGCGTGTGCGTACGTATAATACAAATTTCATTTTCAACTCAATCAGCCTAATGGGATTGCCTTGAATTCCAATTCCCTGGAGCTAGAATCGACTGATGGAAAAAGTCAAGAGCTTGCAAAAAATATTATGGATTAAATTGCAAAATAGAGTAAATAAATATTACGTAATGCGATTACATTTTAATAAAAAAAAACACTCTAATTTGGATTGTTCGATTTTATCAGTCAATTGAAGTAGTTAATTTAAGGCGAACTTGTCTACTTGATTATATTTGACTACAATAAATTACGCTTTTTTTTTTATTAAAAACGTAGATTCAGTTCCAAAATATGTCCCTGAATGTTTAAAAAAAAATCCTCGGCAATTGCAACAGAAAGATGAAATGCTTTCATCATAATTATTTAAAATATCGGTGCTTGGCTTTTGATTTAAGTACTTATTTCCAGCAGTCAACAGCTGCTGATTTCCCTCGACTGCCATTGTAGAATTGAATTCTGCACAATGTTGTTTGTTTTTGTTGCCGGCGAATTTGTGTTTGTTGGAAGCGACGAGCAACTGGGACGCGGGGCTTGCCGGCTTGCAAATCCAGCAGCAAGGCTGCGAGGAAAGCGGCAATAAAAACAACCAATGGGTGCTTTTTCGCCAGCAGAAAGCTTTGCTGCACCGGACCATGCAAAAAAAGCGGTAAGCTCTTCGGGAAATTGTGGACGCTTTTCGCACAAACGATCCTTTGTTTCTGGTATTAACCTGTGTGTGTGGCCACGACGAGAGTCAACCTTGCGAAATTTAATATTACACGTAATCAATTTATTCGCAGACACTTGATTGTTAGGTCACGAAACATGAGAGATAGAGGGACGTGGCTCGTCGTCGTGAGAATATTTAATGAGCAGCTTGATATTATGATTGATGAAAACGCGAGGAAATTATTATTCGTCGATCCGTCTGGTCAGGTTTTCCTGGTCGCTGCGTGCTGCTTTGCTTGTTAATTGACCTAGTTGTGCAAAAAAAAAAATAATAATAATAATAATAATAGCCAAGTTCTCAGTCACTTAGCTGTCAATGTCAAAAGGAAGCAATTGATATAATATCTGATATTATCATAGATTTGATAACTTCAATTACTTGTAATTAATATTCCCTGTTATGATTTGAGGAGAAACAATTTAAATAATTTAACATTCATAACTTTTTGGACATTTTTTTTAAAGAGGATGAAAAATGGGACGTAAGTTTAGAGTTTTAACTGTTTTATAAAGATATGGCAGTCGTAATAAGGAGTAAAAAGCAATCTTATCTTGGAAGCATTAAAAAAGTAGTCTCTGCGCCAGGTTTTTATTACTTTTTTAATTATCCTAGGCAAAGGCAATCAAAGACTTCCAGGAATTTTTTCGTGATTGTTTTTATCTTTTATCAATTTAGTGTCTACTAAACAACAGTGTAAGTTGTCGTAAACTCCAAAATAATATCATTGAAAAAGTTGTAAAATTGAATGCTTTATTTTTCAATTTCACAAAATAATCCAATTTGTCAAGTTTTAGTTTGTTATTCTCACAATTTTGTCGCAATCAATTCGCTAATATTGTTTTTTCAAGCACTACATTGTAAAATGAAAGCCATTTGTAAATTCCTTTGCTATTAATCGATCAAGCCAAACACAGTGAACATTCGGTTAGATTTGGCAGGCAGCCCTAGTAAACATCATTACAAACACACACGTAGACAAAATTTCAAGGCTACTTTAATTTAATTATATTGATTTGTTGAAAGTAAGTTTGAATACATTGAATCTGTTTACTTTCCCACACTGAAAATTTAAACTAGATTTTTGGTGCCAAATTATAAAATTTATTTTCAATCAATGTGTTTAAATGCATATTTTTAAGAATTGGCTACATAATCAATTTAAATTTTTCACTATTCTGAGGAATTTAATTAAAAATAATGAAAAATATATAACAATTTAAACCGGAAAATAGATTATTTCTAACCAAAACGAAAAAGTAGCTTTCTTCTATAAATGGTTTAAAATTATAGAAATTTTAAAAGTATATGACATTTTTAAATATTTTATTTTTGTTATGCTAGCATTTGATTTTGCACTGCCAGTCAAATGACATCAGCGGCTGAGCTGTTTGTCCCGAGAGACGAGCAGCCTCGATATATGGTTATGCACTCGCGGTCCGAGCGGCGTTTGCAACACATCCGGATGCGAGACGGACTGCGAGTGTGTTTCATAAATTTCCATTCGTACGTACCGAGTTTGCTGGAGAGCTGTGCAATTAATCCACGCGGCTTGGCGTAGCCCCGGGTGCTGCAAACGTCTCTCTCGCGTGCGAAAAGCGTCCGAGGGTTGCGCGTGCGCCCGGCGGGCGGCCGCATCGGCGGCAGAGCGGCCGCGGCGGGCCGCCCTCGGCCGCCAGTTGTAATCGGGACGCCGAGGCGGCGGTCGCGCGCGCCTCTCTCACCCTGAACGCTGACGACGCTGCGCAGGTGGATGGCGTGAACGTGAGCCTCAACGGCAGTGGCCGCTGGCCTCCGGAGGCGGCCGAGGCGCTGCCCCCAGACGCGGCGCTGCTTGCCGTGGTAGCCAAGGCGGCGGCCATGGCCGCCGTCATGGTGGCCGCCGTGCTCGGCAACGCGCTGGTCATCGCGAGCGTTGCGCGCCACAGGAGGCTCCGCGTCATTACGAACTATTACGTGGTGAGTGCAATTTTTTTATAATTTCATTGATTTTTAAATTTAATTTAATTTCCTTCTATTTTATTTAAAATTGAGTTCATTTAATTCATAAACCAAACAACGAAAAGAAAAATCCAAATAATTATTATTTTTTTTCTCTGAAATTAATTTTTTTTTATTTTGTTATTTTATTAATTCCTACTTTTATATTAAATTGTATTTCCTTATTAATTTATGCAATTTAAATTCCTATCAATTAATCAATTAAAATTTATTTTTCTATAAAATTACAAATTAAATAGCATTTAAATTATTTTTAAATTTAAATTTAGACCCCTTTCTTTAAACTTACAATTTTTACTTTATTTTTAATGAAATTAATCTCACTTGAGGTTTTGAATTTATGAAATTCCAAAAATAAACATCGCTATAATAGAACTTGAGAAGAAAACAATGAAGTTGATTCAGTATATTTTGAGACTGGGTTTTCATTTTGTAACCACAAGTTTGGAAAGCCGATTAAACGTCTGTCGGCGTCGCTCCTTTGTACGAACGTGTATTTATAAATTAACGTTTGCAGCGGGATTTGTCTGCTGCTGGTCAAAATATTCTTTGACACGTAGCCAAGATTAAAGTAGATTCTCGGTCAGACCGAGCGAATTGAATCCAAATCCAAGTGGCTCGATCTTGATTTTGCTGCGAAAGTTTCAAAATTCACCCCGTTTCAAATTTAGATCAAGTTCGATCAGTTGCGACGTATTATAATAATAATAAAAAAAGAATGTTTATTTACTAATTTAATTAATGATGGGAGGATATAAAAAATTGAGCTCAATCAATCAGGCCGATAAGACATTTTGTCTCGGCATAACAAAAAAATAATAATATACTGATGATACAATGAAGAAATGCTTTTAAGTCATAAAAATTACTTATAGATTTTTTTCGCATGAATTTTATTAATTTGTAAAAAAATTTGATGATTGGTTTTGATATTCAGTTAAATTATTCAACTTGAAAAAATAATATTTTCCTTGTTTTTATAACATTTGGCTCTTTCAGCAAGTTGCTTTGTAGAGGAGCGACCAAAAGTAGCTTTTTTTAAATACTTTAAAGCAAGCCGAGTGCATGAAGTCCATAAGAACTGGCGGCTTGAAACTTTATGGGCGGGTGAAAATGTAATTGAGCCAAGAATTCCACGACTCCTCCGTCGAGTATGGCACACTCTTCAGTGTAGGGTGGCGCGCGAGGTATTTTGGAAGAAGTGACAGGCCGAATTAAAACTTGATATAGGCCTCAAAACGCGGCGGCGGCTCCCAAAATAATCCGTCTCTCTTCCAGCGGCTTACGTTTGGCAAAACAATTTTTTGCGTCATTTTAATTTGGCTGGAGAAGCGGCACTTTCTTCTCCCTCGCATTTTCTTTTTTGCAATTTCGGCCCCGCTTTTCTACGTGTCGGGTGTGACAATCAAGTCGTCCCTTGCGGGCTGATGACGGAGAATTTTCGACCCCCTTATTCTTTTTGCCAATTCTGCGCGTCGACCGGCATTTTCTCATCACGCGGCGAGAAAAATTGGCGCCTTCAGATAAGAAGTAGTGCCATTATTTTTCGTCTTGTGTCATCCGCGGAGGAGGAGTTAATAACGAAAGCTGTGAGGCGATCTCATTGTTTGCACACTGGCTATTTTTAGTTACACTTTATTATTACATTGATGGATAAGCTTGTAAAACAAGTTTGTTGGGAATCGAGTTTGTTAGTCTCTGTATGCATAAAAAATGCTAGCGCCGCCGGTATGGAAGCGTGTGCCTCATTGTATCATGACATTGACGATGTTTTTATATATGGAGAGTACAAAGTTTTAAAAGAGAAGCAAGCCATTTGGTGATGACGTGCTTTTTGCCTGAAACCAACAAAAGTTTACAGACGACGAGCCACTTATACCACTCTTTTCGTGGCTGCTCTTTATTGAATTTAATAGGCTCACGGCCGATCGATTTTTCTGGCATTATTTATTTTTATACCTCTGCACATTTGCGACTTTTTGGATATTAGCGGTGAATGGGGGATGTTTTTCCATTTTTTTTAATGATATTGAATGTTTTCGTTGATAAAATGTGTTAAAAAGCGCCCACGCGGCAGTTATGGATTTCCTGCGCTAAAAATATAAAATTTTTACGATTGCTGTCACTACGGACGTGGGAGTTGAGCCTCAAGATACGTATTTTTATTTTTTATGATGGGGAGAAAATCGTAAATTTTGTTATTGAAAAAAATAAGCGTCACAACTTCAAAAGGTGGCTGGTTAATTGATATTTTATCTTAATTGATCAGCAATTTTTGTGTTTTTAGCCACATTTATTTTGTTTAGTCGGATTCTTCTTTTTTTGACCAAAAAATCAATTATCCAGAAATCATATCTTCATAAAATGATTCTGTTTTGGCTCCAAGCACGATCATTTTTATTTTTTGTTGTTTATTCAATATTCATCAAAATTGTTTGTCAAATTTTAGGTTTTTTTAACAGGCGTAGAAATTTTTGTACAGACTCTCGTAAAATGTGTAAAAATTAATTCGTCAAAAATGCATTATCATTGGTTCAATTGGACACTCAACTCGACCCACGATTAATGTTCAAAATTTGAAATCCACGAATTTAAGAAATACCTAAGAGAGTAAAGATTGGTTATGATGCTTATTGAAAATATGATAAAATTAAAATCAGAACTGTGATTTTAATTTAGTATAAAAACTTGATATAATAAATAGGAAGATTTTTATAATACCATTTAAAATTTAATTCACAGAATAATGCTGGTGACAAAACTAATTTTAAATAAAAGAGTTTGTTTTTGTCTATTCAAGTGAAAGGATAGAATATTTTATTTTTTACAATGATTCCAGATCTAAATTCCCAATTATTGATACATTATGATTTATGATTGATGAGTAATTGAAGCAGAATTTTTAATTTTAGATCCATTGAACAAATGATTTATTTTCCCCTTTCTCTGTGTTTGTAGGTGTCTCTGGCCATGGCGGACATGTTGGTGGCCCTGCTGGCGATGTCGTTCAACTTCAGCGTGCACCTGAGCGGCGGTCGGTGGCAGTTCGGGCCGATTTGGTGCGACGCGTGGAATTCGTTCGACGTCTACTTCAGCACGGCCTCGATTCTGCATCTGTGCTGCATCTCTGTGGACCGCTACTATGCCATCGTGCGCCCTCTCGAGTACCCGTTGATCATGACCACCAGGACGGTCGGCTTCATGTTGGCCGGCGTGTGGCTGCTGCCCGCGTTCATCTCCTTCCTGCCAATCTTCCTCGGCTGGTCAGTACCAAATTATTTATTTTTTAATAGTCAATGTTTAGTATGTAAGTTAAAAGACAAAACCGTTTTTTTTTATGTTTTAATTCTGAAATTTATAAAATTTTCATGCCGGTGACAATATCAGGAGCTTTATGAATCAGTGTTTTTCGTTTTCTGCCAAATTTAATTAAACCACAAGAAAGATCTAAAATGGTTCTTAATCGTTAAAAACAACAATATTTTCTGAAGATTTTTAATTTTGACGCTATATCCATCAAAATTGGTTGATTTTCAAATATAGGAATAAGAAAATCCACCGGTGTAGGTCTTGAAGGAATTCACTTGAGGCCAGTTGCAAACATTTGCCTCTGGGATTCCAACGCAAACGTTGACAGCTGCTGTCAGTTCATAAAAATCGCTTGTTTGTATTGAGCTTTTGAGGCTATCCACAGTATCCGTCGTTCATAGAATCTCAGTAAAACAGTCCAGATGTTAGCATATCTTGAAAAGTATTAAAAATTTTGATATTAAATATGAAAAAAAAAATCAAATACCAAAAATTCTTTTAAAAGGATTTAAGGTGATGAAAAATTATCAATTATTTTTGGTTAAAAGATTTAACTTTGAATTTTGACTCTCTTTTTGATGAGGAGCAGTAAAATTGATTTTTCTTTTAATTTCTCTAAATATTCAACCAGGACAAATTGAAAATACCAATCTACCTAACTGTGTCCAAAACCTGACTTTGCCAAGTTTATTAATTAAATTAAAATAATCTTTTGTTATCTTTCAAACGAACTTTAGAAGTAATTATGACAGCAGGCGGATATTTTTCTTTCGTTTAGAAACAAAATTATTTTTCACGTTTAATTGGCAGTAATATTTCAGTTATGCAACCAGTTTTGCAACGTTGTCGGGCAGGATGCATAATTTGGCGTGAATTAAAGGAAGCGCCGAAATTCCAGTGCTTTGGATCATGAACTATTGTACGTTGGGCCATAAATTCAGATCGACGGCTGCGCGAAATTTAATCGCATTACACGATACACCAAAAACACTTAATCACTGCCGGCGGAATCCGACACTTCGCACGCAGAGTAAGCCCAGAGCGCACACCGGTCCTGGTTAAATCCGCAACATTGTTAAAATTCGCATCCATTTCGGAAGAGCGGCCGGGCGGCGCACAATTCATGCATAGCGTTCCCACGAATGATTTATCACAAAAATACCCGTTTTTTTCCCCGTTTGTTCTGATTAAAATTTGTCTGCGAAAGGAAAAACATATACGAACTCGGAGCTTTACCAAGAAAAGCTTTCGCTTCCGTTGCCTTGACGACTAATTCTCTGGCCTGAGAACGTGTGCGTGTAAACAAAAATATTATCTAAGCGGATTGTGTTCACCTCTGTTTGTTCCATGAGGCGAGATCAAGTAGCGCGGAAAGCAAACCGGAAAATAAAATGTGTTTTCCCTTGTTGAATTAATGAAAGAGAAAAACCTGTGTTATTATTAATTTTAATAAAATTAATTTATTTGCATTCTCATCTTAAAATGATTATTAAATTATTTTATGTTACATTTTAATTTAACAAAATTACACATAATATAATTATTATATTCTAAATTTTTAAGTGTTAGAAATTGAATTTTAGTTCAATTTATATATAAAATAATTTAATATTATAAAATTAATAATCCATTTCAAGTATTTTTTTTTATATATAAATTTGATGAGCATTGGTAGAAATAAAAATAATGTTGCTCATCACCTGAGAATGAACATTTCTGGATCTGGATTAAGTTTGGTGCAACGCTTTTTTCTTTTGAAACATTACAGTCATTACACAGAAAAAATGGAAATACAATAAATTTGGATCATATTTTTGCTAGCACAAAAGAGAATTCCCCATAGCATAATTCCAAAGAGATTTTAATTTACTAAACTGTGCATGATTCGTTGCTTTTTTTAAATTTAATATTTAAAATTGTACAAATTCCTTCTCTCCAAACAATAATCAAACACTAAAATATTATTTAGATTTATATTCTCTAAAAATATTTTCATTCGAAAGAAGAAAAAGGCTGATTGATATTTTTCAATTGAATACAATATTTTTTCCCTAATATTATTCCAAGCATCCAATTCTCGCTGCTCAACTCACAATCAGAGACTTGCCTTGTTTTTAATATTTTTTAAGCAGAACTAACCCTTTTTAGTTTTATTACTTGCCTAAAAGTCTCTAGTTAAGAAGCGCAAGATGATTCTTGGTCTTAAAATCTTAGTCAAATTTCGCCTCCTCATCAACATGATTATCAAAGAACTTCTATTGTTCAAGAGTTTCTCTTTGACTTGCGTTCAGTAAAAGACGAAAGAGAAGTACAAATGAATTTCCGTCGGAGGTGTCATCATGTGCTGTCACTTTTGCTTTTGTCTCAAGCACGTGCGTTATCAAAATTTCAAAGGCGCGTGACAAGGCTGCGCTCTCCGTGTTTTTGTTATTAAAAGCTAACCGTTTTCCTCTCAGTGTTTCACTCAAAAGCGCGCTCTCAGTCTCGTCACACACACAGAGGTCTTTAGAGGAGGACCAAGTTGGAACCTCTCTTTGGAGTGCCTAAAAGCACCCTTGCACGTTCATAATTTATGAAGTTGCGCGCTCACTCAAAACAGACAAATTTCCTCTGCCCATCAACTTTTCCACCTGCCCGCGTTATTTTATATCGACGGCCAAGAACTCTTGGGAATCGGATCGGTCCGCCGTGAAATTTATTGCGGCAAGGGTCACTGCCCATACCGCTAATTAAAAAAGTTATCTTTCCCGTTTCTCTATTTTCCGGATGTTTTGACACGTCGTTTCGAAGCCTGGCGCGTCGTAAAGGGAAAAGACTTTATGTTGCCCTTAAAAGGCACATCAACACTTCCGAGTATTCACCATCACCGTTCGGAAGAGTGGCTGTCAGAATATATTGGCTCTCGTTCAGAAGCTTTTTTCCTTCCGAAAAGCTATTTTTAAAGAGAGCGACAAAGTGAAGGATCAGTCGAATCTCACGCCTGTAAAATTTACTTGTCATTGTCACCACTGATTAAATATAAAAGGGAGGAAAATTGTAAAAAAATTATTTTATACCTCAGTGCGGAGATGAGGGTTAAAAATATTTGCAAAGAGGAAATTTTAATTTTCATAAATTTCACTCCGGGGATAAAAAAAAATTAATGAATTTAAAGTCAGTCTTTTCATTCATCATTGTTTCACCATAATTTTCATATTTAGATGTTATTTGTGCACAATATTTGAAAGTTTAATTCTTTTATAGTAGGTTTTCAGTTACTTTCAGTTTCCAAAAATATTGATCAAATCTTTTAAGAACCAAAAAATGTTTTCCTTGGGAAATGGCAAACCAGTGTTGAGCCTTGAGTATTAAGATTTTTTTTTTATATAAAACAGCAATTTCATTCATATTCATTTATGAAATTCGATCTCTTTTCATTTGGATTAAAGAATAAATATCATTATTGCAAATAGGCCCTTAACTGCTGAACGTTCCAGTGTATAAATCGATCGTAAATTCCATAAATTCAAGTGGTCGTTAAGTTTTTTGCTGAGAAATGATGAGTGGAACTCGATCGCACTCCACTTGGATGCGAATATTTATATTTCCCTTTTTAAAATACAGAAAATTGACATAATTATAATGTGCAGTAGAGGAAAAACAATGATTATTTTGTTTATCCAAAAAGAGGAATTTTTAATTTGAAATTGAGAAATAAATTAAAAAAGAGTAGACTTATGCACGCAGTACTCTTAGATATTCCTAGTATGTAGTTTTAAAGAAAACAATATTTTACACTCAAATAATCAGATTTTAAATCTGTGCAAAAGGTTTTTTTTTTAATATATTTCACGGTCTAAAAACTTGAAAAAAAAAAAAATTAAAAAAATCTCAAATCTGGTTTTTTTTTCAATCAATTTTAAAATTTATTCCTCAATTTCAAATTGAAAAATTCCTCTTTTTGGATAAATAAAATAATAATTTTTTGTTTCTATTCTGTACATTATAATTATATCAATTTTCTGTATTTTAATTTTAACGTAGACTTCAAAATTTATTTTCTTATAATTTTACCCGACAATTTTGTTTCAATTTGAAAAAGAAATCACCAATGCGATCAAGAAAAAATAATCTGAAATGTAATTTGACTAATTTGCATCCCTGCATTCCTCGAGAATAAAGTCAACTCTCATGCTCGGAGAGAAAATGCCCCAAAAATTGATTATCCATTAGGCCGTTATGGATTTTTGAAGTTCTGCAATAAAAAGCCTGGGCAACCTGCTGGCGCGCGAGATTTCCATCCATAAATAATCGCGCGTGCGGTGCTCGCTCGTTCTCCCCCTTGAGCCGCTGGAAATATTGCTCGTGTAGCATGTCCCCGTGTCATGTTTGGGCGGATATTGAATGAGCAAATCTCCATAAAAGAGCTTATCACTCAGGCCCTCTTCCTCTCATTCAATAAAAGCAACCTGTAAATCGGCTTTGCGGACCGCGGCAATCGATATTATTATTACGTCCCTTTTATGCGACATTGCACTGATTTAATATTAAGGAGTTTTATGTCCCACGCATAATATCTCTTCATAACAGGCCGAGACATTAATTTCTCTAGCTGAGAAAAAAACTTCATGCTCTTTGTATAATAATTTCATTCAAATTCTGTTTCATTGTGAAATGGAAATATTTAATTACTCAACTTTAATGAGAGTTGCAAAAAAAGAAAATGCGAGCTTTCATCATCGAGTCGAGAACTTCCACTTGAACTGTTGTGCAATTGCTGCTCGACTGTTTCAGTGATATAATGTCACAAGCACTGCCTGCAAAACAACAGAGATGAGCTTCCATTTATACCTTTCTACTCATACTCTTGCGTTAATTAATTCTGCAAAAACAAATACTCGCCTCTTTCTGTGTGCAGATCACAAAGAGTGAGAAAATAAGTCTGCAAAAATAGAATTTTTTCAGTAATTTTGTCAGACTTATTTCTTTTACAATAAAATATTTGTACAAGTTTTTTTATTTCTTAATTAAAAATAAAAATAATAAACTTATAAAAATTATCTTTTTAAAAGAGTCCAAAAGAGGTGGCATTTTAGTTTCAAAGACCCCAGTATAAACTTAAAAAGTAATTTTCAGAGTAATTTTTATTTAACAGAATGACGAGAATTACATATTATTATTATTATGCAATCAACCGTTGTTATTATTTTGAACAAACAGATGAAGCATCTCCCTTAAAGAACCACTCCGGTCATTTGGATTGCTCTTTATTCTGAAAGATTGCTAAATTTCGAGTATATCTTGTGAAAACACTAGTTGAAAATTCCAAACCGTTGCGTCTCAATCAAAAGAAAACCTAAATACGAGAGATTCGCGCGAAAAACGTGTGAGAATTTGGTAGCCAATCAGATCTCAGATCCATCAGTTTGTTCCAAAAACTACAGAATTTGGTCAAATTGGCGCTGCGATCGCTGATTTCTCCACTAATGCCCCACGGCGATGCAGAAAACTTGGCAAAATCAGCGATCGCAGCGCCACAAGTGACAAAAACCTGCAGTTTTTGGAAAAAACTGATGGATCTGATTGGCTACTCAATTCTCATACGTTTTTCGCGCGAATCACTCGTATTTAGGTTTTCTTTTGATTGAGACGCAACGGTTTGGAATTTTCAATTAGTGTGTTCACAAGATATACTCAAAATTAGCAATCTTTCAGAATAGAGAGCAATAAACTTGACCGGAGAGGATCTTTAAATTTTTGAATAACACTAAGTAAGAAATGACATTCTTTAATATATATAAAATTTAAATTACATCTAATTGGAAGTTTGAACAGTTCTGGAAGTGATGATATAATATTCATTTCTGAAATGATTTTAAATTTGCTACATTCGCACAATTGTGGTAAATATATCATCAACCATACACAATTCGGCCATACGTCTGTTATTTCTGGCATGGCGAGCACTAATGAATTGAAGTGGATTCCATTATAAATACCATTGTAGCGTCCACTGCTTTAATTAGCAACACCCTTTTGCATTCTCGCTGGATACTCTGGACAATGCGCGGACCTCGCAGGCGCAATCCGTGTTTAATTCAGCGAAATCGTGCAAACAACAGAAGTTGCGCCAACGGGGCCGGCGGCTTTTGCTTTTCATCTGCCGGGTCGAGAGCGCGCCCTTTGTTTGCTTTTCGCCGTTTCAGCGGCAATCTGTTGATTTCTCTTTTATCCAAAAATCTAACTAAAGACCCTTTATCGCAAACGTTCTGCCCAATAAATTTTTTTTGTTAAAATTAAATAATATGAGAAATATATCTTTTGTTGAAAATTTTGAGGTGGAAAATTCATGCTTGTTGAATTGAAACTTGGTTATTCCTTGATGAGATTTTATTTTGTCTTTCTGATTATTTTCTGCGGTTAAAAAAATGTATCTTGCCCTACATACAGTCGAAACGTAAGGCAGGATATCAATTTTATTCTTAACTAATTTTATATCAAATTTAATTGTTGTTCTAAAATTTAATTGTGAATTTAATAATTTTTTTTCTTGAATTTTTTTTACAGCTTGTGTCAATCTAATTCAAAATAAATGTGAGAGGGTGAAAAACGACTCGTTTGCATTTATTAAAATATATATTTTCTATTTTTTCAATGTTCTGAGTGAGACTATAAAATTTCAAATTTCTAGACTTTTCTAAAGAATTTTTTTGCAGGATATTTTAGATTTCTTTTTGGTAGTTAATTGTAGACAATATTTGATTAAAACATTTAAACATTTAAACATTTTTCCATGGCAGTGTTATGTATTGTTTTTCTTTTGACGAAAACAACGTATTTTCCGGTATTTCTGAATTTGAGATTTAAATATCAGTGTCATCATAAATTTCAAAACTAAAAATTTAAATTTTGTGTAATTTTATTTTACTTGAATTGTTTTTGTTTTTAATTATTGCTGAATAAAAAAAAAGATCTTATACTTCAAAAGTTTCAATCAGAGAGACCAAAAGTGGAAAAGGTTTTTAAACTATAAAACTTTAGGCTTTTAAGTCGATCTTTTAAGCCGTTTAAATATTACAGTTTAAGTAAAAATTTCACAAAATCAGCTTTATTTCAATTTTGCACCTCAAAATGTATGTTCATCCTCGGATCTCATTAAAGGGTTAAACCCTGACAATGCTTCACGTTTTACTGTCAAAATTCCTCTCATATTGTCTGTAATCTGCAAGTGCCAAATCTGGCCGCCGGCGTTATAACGAAAGTGAAACAACTATGGCGTGCGCGAGTTGTAAAATGTGTTTGGCAGAGGAATTTACTGCACGTAAATTACGCCTGGTAATGACCTTCGTGTTTGTGTGTGTTTGACGCGAAACGTCCTGCCACGGAGCCCCCATTCAATTCGCACACACAGAGTTTTACGGAGCTTTGCTGCAAAACGAATTGAAAAAAAACTCGCCAGGTTTTTTGCCGCCTGGGAAATTTTAATCAAAACTTTCCGCAAAATTCAATTTCCTCCCAGTGGGTGAGTCTGTGTACACAAATATTAAAAACTCGGCCAGCTTTTTCACTCGGAAAATAATGAAGAGTAATTTTTTCTTTTTAGATTTTTTCATAATTAGGTAATTAGTTTTAGTGTAAACTTTTTTGAGCAGGCTTAATGTTGGCAAAAGCTTTGCATACTTTGACACAAAAAGCTTATAGGGCAATTATCTCCTAAAAATAAAAATGATGTAGTTATTCTTCTATATAAATTTGTTTAAAAATGTTATATATTGATTCCTTGCTGAAAAATAAATGAATCTGATGCTTAATTTTAAAATATAAAAGTGGCAATAATTTGATTGATGTTTCAAAAAGAATAGGTCAATGCAAATTATCTATTATTTATTTTAAATAATTATAAAATTGAGGTGAGAATAATGTTTAAAGATACTAATTTTCGTGATGACTTTTAGCCATAACGTAATGTCACTTTCAATCAAACATCCTCAGAAAATGTGAGCGATTCGCGAGATTTAAATTTTTTGGTAAGCAACATTCCTTCTTATGGAAATTTTCTTAATTTTTTCTGGGCTACAACTATTAATAAAAATTGTAAAATTCATCTTATTTCCTCAAATTGTTTTGTAAAATTTTTTAAGTTAAGTTGAAGTTGTACTGAAATGAGTTTCAAATAAAAGAATAATTATAAAATTCATCTTATTTTATCGAAAAATTAAAAAAAAAAACAATGGACTTGAGCTAAAAATTACATAGAGCTTATGGGAAACATTTCATTGATCATTCTTTTCTGGTGAACTCCTTAGCCAAAAAATTTTGAATTCATTATTTATTGATGTTTTTCTGTTGTTTTTTATCTTCAGAAAACCGCCCACATTTTTTTTCTCATAAAGTTAATAAAACAAATCCAAATTTTAGTTGAAAATAATGTTTTTAATATATTTTCATGAAAAATTCCGGTTTATTTGAAATTGAATTTTCTATAAATTCTTTCCAAAAACTAAACCCTTTATTTTTACCAACCGGTGAACATTTTTCCCTTGTCAGTTGGGTTGAAGTGGCTCTGTGGGATGTGCAGTATTTGCATTTTATGTTTTGTCTTTGTGTTGTATTCGAGAGACTCTCCTGTCGTGGATATCTCGCATTCTTTGCCAAAATTCCAATCAAAAGAGCGTGATGTTTGAGGACAAGATCAAAGTGTGGTGCGCACTTCAACCGCGGCCGAGTGACGTCAGCGGAGTTATGTTGACAGTTTCAATATTTCTGCCTCTCGCCTTTTGCTGTGTTTTTGTGTGTGAAAACTGCGCGCTCGTTTCCTTCAGCCAAAATGACGTATGTTTTGCCTCTCTGTACAAACACGCCCCTCTCAAATTTACATTTCAAATCAACCCGTGTGTATACTGTGCGTTTCGAAACCAAATCCTATCAAGGTTTAGCTTTAAATTAATTCGGAATTGCGGCTTTTGTTTGGAAAGCTAATTGCAGAATTATTTAGAGGTGGAAATGTGCTGTCGATTTTAACATTTTGGTGAAATTGAAATTGGATAAACCGGATTAAATTAAGTGTGGTTCACAGATATTTCATACTTTTTTAGGGATTTTATTTATTGAAGATAAAATTTTAGCATGTTGATACGAAAATAGTGGATTTTGCATAAAAAAAATTGACGAAACCTACACCGAATGCTTTTTTTCATCGTCTTAATAAAAATATGATTTAATAATGTAATTCAGGAAGGCAAAATATTTATCATCTGTGATTTAATGTTAGCATAGATTATTACCAAATCTATATCAAATTGCACTTCTTATCTACATTAATTTTTAATTTTGATAGCTACATTTCTTTCAAACTTATATTGCTTTTTCTATAATGTTATTTGTGACAATTTTTACCAATAGGTTTTTTAAACAAGAAATTTTATCAAAGACTGATTCTTTTAATCTAAACTTCACAGTCCTACTTGATATTATTCAAATTTTAGTTAATTTAAATTGAGTAATTGATGAATTAATTTTTACATATTTTTCTTCTGTGTTGATTCAGGTATGCGACATCAGAGCACCTGGAGTGGAAGGAGTCGCACCTGGACGAGTGCGTGTTCGAGGTGAACAAGTGGTACGCAGTGGTGTCGTCCGGCGTGTCCTTTTGGATCCCGGCCACCGTGATGGTGCTCATGTACCACCGGGTCTACAAAGAGGCGGTGCGCCAGCGTAGGGCGCTCTCGAGGACCTCGTCCAACATCCTGCTCAACAGCATCGTCGTCCGCAGGGCCAACCAGCACCCGGGCCACCGGCAGATGCGCCCCCTGCCCGAAGAGGATGCCAACGAGTCCGATCAGGACCACAGGGACGCCACTGCCGTCCCCCTGCACAGGTAAGACCAGCTTTTTGTCTTGAATTTATATATGATTTTAATTTATATAGGAGTTTTGTACAAGTTAAACAGTGAAAAAAGCTAAAATGGATTTTATTTTATTAATTATTTTCATTAGAAAATCTTAAAAATTTCAATCAAACGTCTTTATTGAATTGATGGGGTAACATTTTTAATTAGGTTAGTTAATAAATGTTACAGACCGGCAAAATTTCTATTGTTGCCATTCAATATAATCCTCCAAAAAATTAAAGAAACGTGTTTTTCAACCTTATATAAAGAAAAATTATTGTACGGGACACCTTAAAAGTTTATAACGGATCTGTTATTCTATAAAATAAAATTGCAAAATATTGAACGATTAAAATTATTAGCTCGAAGTTATAAAAAAAATTCTGGGTACTGATATTTCATATTTTTAATCTCAAGTGAACCATTTCTTTATTATTGTAAATTTTTTTAATTATTTATATTATCGTTTCAAGGGTCTTGTTATTTTCAAATTCACAAGTGTTTGCAAACAAGAGTTAAAAACTTAAAACTTTGAGCGTCAATATTATCAAAGAGTAGAGAAAATCAATAAGCCATCAAATCCTTTATCTGAAAACTTTCTTCCAAGTAATTTAGTTCATATTTAATTTTTTTTGTCAATATCTGCCAACTCGGCCACAGGGAAAAATGCAGAATATATTTTCATTTTAAAGCATGGTTAAGTTGATTTTCCTGTTTTTGACGTTTTCGTAATTGGATTTAGGCTGGAACAATATTTCCTGAAATTTTAAAAGCGTTTCCTTTGTAAGAAATTCTGATCAAAATTGCTTCTGCTAAGCTTCAACTTCCCCGTCAAAATGTGCTTGCGTTAGAAATTAAGTGCTAAGCCATTTTAATACTGGTCCGATCTTTTAATCCCCTTAAACTCATTTCCCCAAAAAGCTTTTATGCTTTTCAAGGCAAAGGATTTTAACGTCTCGAAGCGAAAGCAAACACAAACAAAACGCTCTAGCGAATTAAATCTGAAACAACCCTTTGACTTCACCGGCGGAAATTCTCCTTTCTCTCGGCGGAAACTTTTTCAAAAAAGATACCAGTCTTGGTCTCGCTCCAAAACGGATCTGATTTCTATTTATGTGTCTGCGATTTGCCAGCGGAAATATTTCACTGAAATAATATTTATGAGAGAGTATAGCGGACCAAAATCTGGGTCACTTAATTAAACACGCGCTGCTTTCGAGCAAACAGCCAATTTCTGCCAACAGGCAAAATGCGAGCATTATTGCTTAATTACAAAACGTGCAGCTTTATTACAAATATTCTTCAAACAGTCGCGTACGTTTTAAATAGAACTGGCTGAAACGAACCATTATCATTTTAATTAAAAACTTGGAACGTGTTGAAGAGAAAAACGAGGTGGCCTTTAGCAGGGGGATTAAATTAACTGGAGAAATTTCTCATTTCGCTCTGTGCAAAAGTAGAGAGAGAGATAAATACATGCACCTTTGTGCTGTTTATCTCAGCCGGCGGCATTGTTATATTAATAAAATTTTCCATCTCTTTAAACTCTGCTCCAGTTTCGTTCTCCGCCATGATCAATTATTTACAAAAACAGCCTTTTTCAACAGGACGTTGGCAAATGCGGAGAGCGACAAAGGAAGTTGCTCCATTGTGGAGTGGCACAAATATTATGTGGAGCAAAGCAAAACGAATTAAAAACCCGCAAAGTATATCAGTAAATTTTTAATAAATTTCCCTTCTTGCAAAATGCATTTTCTGCGAACTGAAGGTGATTGCATTTTCTCTCTTTGATCTCGTCATGGCTTTTTGCAGACAGAGTTTTATTTGAACTTTCACAAAGAGCAGAGGAAAGGAATTTTGAAATAAAATTAAACTGAGCTGGGAAATAAAGAATATTCATTAATTAAAAGAGACAATTAGATTAATAATTATGTAATTCAGAATTAGGAAAATTTTGTATTTAATGAAATTTCCAAAATTTTTACTTCTTATCAAATTCTTTTGACACACTGCGATATACAGAACAATTCAAGTAATAGCGGTAATTTTGTTATGTCAGAAATGTCTTATCTGACACGGTTAGCATGACTTTGCGGAATTCAAGTACTTGCATTGAGAGTCACTTCAAAATTGCAACTAAACACGCAAGCCTATTTTTGCATTTTGTTGTAAACCTTCGTGATGGAAAGAAGAGATTTTTATTGCTGCGAATATTCTTTTTTTTTTATAGAAAATTGCATTTATTTCGTGGAATCTGAATTGAAATCCTATTCTTCAACTGGAATTGATCTATAAAATTATATTACCAATAACTGCTATTGGCACACGCAAACCAGTATTATTTTTCCCATCCAAATTGATATACCAGATCCGCTAAACAATTTCCATAGCTGCTGAATCTGTATTTTTCATTCAAATCAAATTTATTGCTGCAGACGAACTTTTAGTTTTTATTTCATAACAAAAAATAAAAGTTTTCACACTCAATTCAAATTCTTGGTCCTTATTAATGAAAAATAATAATTCATCTTATAACCAAGAACACACAGGTTAAAGTGGAAAATTTATTTATTTAATTTGATTATCCCGAGAAAGAAGTTCCCTTGCTCATTTATTAACGCATCAAACTTCTTTTGACTTTCTTTAGTTTTATTACGATTGATAACTCATTTAAAATTTGAAACTGTTATTACTGATTTTAAATTGTTAATCGATTTTCCTAGTTCAATAATTTAGTTCATTTTTAAAGGGCTATTTTCAAGAAGAAATCCATTTTCGCGATCATGAGCACTAACGAACCACCACTTTGGAGAGACAGATATCGCCAGTTGAGGCACCGCTCTTCATTTGTATAACTTAATTTAAGCGTCTCTCTTTCTTTCTCTCTCCATTTTGGAGAAAGGCGAGCTGCGCGCCGAAATCATATTTCAGACACTCGGTGACAGCCCGTCTGCCGTTTTTAAAAAGGGAGAGAAGACGTGTTGAAAAGTCATCTCGCGAGTGAACGCGCCGCGCACGCCTCACTTCCCATTATTCTGGAAAGGTTCCGCCGCTTTTGCGACAAGAAAGACCCCGAGAGAGAGAGAGAAAGAGAATTTCGTATAATAATGCGCCTCTCACACGAGCCCATTTGCATTAATTTTTCCTCCACCCGTTTATATACTTTTGCCCGCCGAATGGCGTTAACTTTTGTTCTCTCCGAAAACCATATTATTTTATCCATGTTTTTCGCTTTAGATATTTTGAGCCCGAGTTTGATGCGTCAGGTGGCGAGAGTGGTCTGATTAATTTTGCTCGTGGGCTGGAAACGTGGTTTCCTTTCAATTAAAACCGCGTTAGAACGGCGTCGAGCCGATTTCGCCGACATCACTCTCTCGTCTCCAGCCGAGGTCAAACAGAGTAAAAAGGCAAAGTAATTTCCGCCTCTCTGCGAACGACACGTTCTGCATTACCAATGCACGGAGATATTTGCAATTTCGCTCCAATATTTGCGCAGGCCGCCGAACCGAAAGTCCAATCTGCTGAGTAATCCTTGCAGTTTGCGCCAAATCAAAAGCCCGGCCGATGGAGGCTACCAATATTAACTCTCAACCGCTCATCGACCTTCGGTATGTGAACTAGATATTTGCAGCATCAGCAGTTTAGAATGACCTGCAATTACTGCGCAAAGTATTGGATTGGTTTCGCTTTCAATTAGTAAACGTATGTTCAAAATGTATGAAAAGTTTTATTTTAACTAACAAACTGGATTATTTAACAAGATTGAAAATGCAAGCGATATTTTTTTTAGTTATGGGATCTTAATACTTCTTTTTTAAAGAGCTTTTTACTTATCAAAATAAATTATTGAAAATTATCATAAAATTTTTAACGCACCTCACAAGCAGGAAAACTTTTTAAATTCACGTGAAATGCAAGTCAAATCATAAGTTTCATCAATTCATTTTTTTTATTCCTTTATTATAACCTGTTGTTTTCCGCGCAGTCAATGAATTTGAAAACCAACGATGACAATCCTTACAATGAGGATTGTCATCATTGATAAGATAATTTAGAAAAACGGCTGGTCAAGCAGGAGGACTGACAAACCTTAATTTTTAGCGAACACCTTAATTTCAAAATCCGGCTGGTCAAGGATTAATTACTAACGCTTAGTCGTTGTAAAATCCTATTAAAGTTGACATTTTCCATGAAATTTGTTAATGGATAATTTTGTTAATAATAGTTTAAAATTTGGAAAAAGGCCAAAAAATTTGATTTTAATTGCACAAATTTGTAATCAGAGTGATCAAATTCACAAGGATCCATCGTCAAAATGTTTTATGGAGTGAAAAGAAAACAATCAAAACACCCTTTTTCACCCAGATTCAGTGTAATCGATATTAAAATTTTATAATTGTATATTGAGTAAAAAAATGAGCCTAATTTTTAATAGAACAACTCAATATTTTTACATAATCAAATGCCACTTCAAGCTTTCATAAAAATAACATTTTTTGTTTCGTTCTGGTGATTTGAAAAAATACCATTCAGTCCGTTCAAATAAATTTCTCAAGTACATGTAGCTTGGACAATACTCTCTACATTTACCATAAAATTCGTATCAGACAGCCCATTTTTTGCTTTATATTGCGGTTGTAAAAATACAAAACTTTCATAAAAGTTGAAAATTTCCTCTCCAAATGCTACAGAAACACGCGATCAGTCCATCTTCGAGGCAAAACCATAAATTTCCATGAAGCAATCCTATTTTCCTGCTTGCGTCTCTCGTAAGAGATAAACGATTGACGAGGTATAAACAAAATTGCCCGTCCGTAGGCGAGAGATCAGCGAAATTTCCTCTTCCGCCGGTTGTGCATAGCGAGTTTGCCAGACGCAGAGGCCCGTTAAGAGCAGGCAGGGGGTGTCTCTGCGCCGAGGTGCTAAAAGCCTGGCGAGGTGTAATTAATTTGCAAGTCTAATGCAATTTGCCCAGCAAGCAGCAGCCA